TCCGAGAGTTGATGACGAAAATATAGTAAACAAAAACAAATACGTCATGTTTCTTGTCGTACTACTAAATAACTTTATCCATCGGCGACCCATGATCCGCACGACAGCTGTTCCTAATCAGCGCCTGCCGCCTTCCCATCGCTCCGTATCCCGCCGAGCTGTTGGAAAGATATGTAAACTACCGAACTTTTTACATGTCTTCAGAAACTAAAATACTGTTTCAGTATTACCAATTCGTCATTAGACAATCCTAAACTGTAACTGGCAGCACTTAATAGTGGCGTTGTAGGAGTTAAGATCACAGCTTCACAGGGCATTTTGGAGTTGATAATCATTTGTATACATTTCACGTAGCAATAACCAGTCCCGGGTACATTGGAACATAGTCTCTTGATCCCTCATTATTAACCCTGATTCGTCTCACTTAAAGATTATATCGATCTCAACCGCCAAGAAGTATATTTCGAATTAATTATCGAAGAAAATGCTTTGTCGCTATAGGAAAGTACTCTCTCTTATGGCAGGGAGTGTTGGTATGATAATTAAATTAGTAAATATATATGAAACACGGAACACTCTTATTCCAAAATGAAGAATCACTATCTAAACAAATTGCTGAGTTTGTTCCAATAGTTTATATAACTTCGGCTCTTAGAACTACAGTGAACGTCAATCATCATCGGTCGTCTCCGGTCTTTACTGACAAAGGGAGAACATTCATGTACGAGTGTCCGTGTATTCAGTTATTGAATATTGATAATCGCTTTCAAACATTTTCCATGGTTGGGCGTTCAAAAAAACTTTTGAGATATTCAATTAAGCATATGATACTTACTAAGCATGCTCAATGTTGATTCCGCTGTGTATCTTCCGCAGCACTCACCAGGGCTGCTGACTTTAGGACAGTGGGGGGAGGGGGAGGGGGCGCGCCCTACAAAGGGGGGGGGGTTTGAGCGGGCGTGAAGAAATTGATTAAAAATAAAAATATTTGTTAGATTTGATCTCGCCTGCTTTATTTTGGATATTTAAATTTCTTTATTTTGGATATTGGGCGCGAGACTTAACAAAATTTAAAGAAGAAGGCGCTGCTTAAAAAGTTTGAAAGCCACTGCTTAGTCCAACTCACACATCATGTCCGTGAGCCTCGCGCTAATCTAAGATGAAAATTTTTAAATTCAACCATTATGAATTCTAATCCTGTATAGGTCAGCGTGTTTATGCTTTGGTATTGAGGTTCGTGTTGTAAAATGATTTTATTATATTGCCTTTGTACTTAAAAGTAAAAAAATGTTAAATTTTCATCTCCAATCTGCGCTCCGCGCAATCCGTTTTACACAGACGCTCGCGATAGTCAAGGCCGGCCCTGCCAGTCATCATTATGGAAACTTGGAAAGTATAGATTTTCACAAAGTTGAGAAGATTCGCGGCGCCTATGCTTTACTCCAGGTATTATTATCACTAGTCTTCGCGCGCGATGTGACGTTATTACATTGGCGTGTGAGCATCAATTGACGGTCTTGCAGGAGTTGGCTGTTCCCGATCTGTTCCAGTTTGTTTATTGTGTCGCTGACTCTTGCTTCCTGATCGATAAATGAGTGCTATAGTTTATGATATATACAGCGTGACCTGAAAACAGATCCAGGTCAATTGGAATAGATTTTAGAATCTGGAGAGAACTTGTGTTCAAAGCGCCCTAGATTACAGTACTTAAACTTTTAAGTACAATCACACACAATCAGACGTCCGAATGCAAGTAAATTTTTTAATTTTCGTTTATTCAAGTAATTATGAAATTTTTGAGTTTTAATCTTAAAACAAGACGGTATGGTATGGTAGTCTTTATTCATACTATAGTCGATTATCAGACGTAACATTTGTATATTTTCGAGTGAAGTATTTCGTTTTCAACGAGTTTCCAATTACGAGGTCAGTTTTTTATGACCAGTGTTACGGCAAATACCCGTAATATTGTCCCAGAATTGAGCTTTAAGCAATACGGCTACGATTTGAGTTGTGTCTGTGTGTCTGTACGTCTTTTTATTAATAGAGAATAAATTTGGTACCACGTGGCATTTGTGGGCGTGTGGAGGGCGTTTCCATAATCCCGATCGTATTACTTTATACCTCAGTTACACCTCGGGCATTTTAATATAACACATCGCCGGGAAATTTTCGGTGGCTTTATGGATTAACAATAGAGCCAAAAATCTGGTGATTGCCTTCTGTAGACACTCTTTCAGCCTTTTTCATATGGATTAATAAATGATATTAATAGTGTGGATGAATTCCTCATTTATCCCCGACGCATTAGCCACATTCGGCGTCAGTCTTAATTCGTCGTTCGTCAGCAGGGCTGGTTAAGCGGAAGCCGTGGCGTACAAAAATAAAATATACCCTTTTAAGATTATAAATTCATGCTTTTAATTTCATTTATAATATTAATATTGAAAAAGAAAAGTAGATTTGCGTATTTGAAAATGTAAAGATTGATTTTAAGGTATATATGAAACCCAAGGTCGTAACCAGGAATTTGCAAAGAGCGATTATGAAATTTCTAATTGTTAAGTTAGACGTAGCAGCTAAAGGGTTCATTTCCAAAAATAGGTGGGCTGCCAACCCTCGCCAACTGAAACATCTTGCTTCGAGTCCCCCTTCCGTCAAACCTAATTTGGATGACCCCTTCCGTCAAACCTAATTTGGATGAGCGTGTAGAAAAGAGTATCTGAGACCATGAAAAGGAGATTCTCGTTTCTTTTGTATTTCCAGTAATCTTGAGAGGTCTGTGATACTGACATTCTAAAATTAGCGACATACACAGAGGCAAAATTCTTATGCCCAAATGTCGGCGTCCACGTCTATAATTTCTGGAAAAGATATGTTATTCCTTGTAGGCCCCTGTTTGGAAACTTTTTAAAAATATAAAAAATGCAATTTTAAGGTGTGAAACATAGTTTTTTTCGTACAAAACCCCCTCTAAAAAACAACAGTTTTTCTCAAGTCTCACGTTATCGGAATATTGGTGATACTGACATTCTAAAATATTGGGGACTTGACATTCTAAAATTTGCGACATACATAGAGTCAAAATTCACATGCCCAAATGTCTGCGTCTACAACTATAATTGTGAGAATATGTATGGTATTCTTTGTAGGCTGCCGTTGGGAACTCCATGTATCTTCTTAGCTTTACAACAATCGAACTCCCCCCAATTGTTTCCGGCGCGGAAACGCCTGAAAAATGATTTGTGATGACAAGTCGTGATGTTCGTTGAAGCCGGCTTGTCAAACTGCTGCGCTCCCGACAAAAATAGTCTGGTGTGAACCACGGCGAAGTTGGATTCATAGCTGCTGTTTATGGAAGTTCGTTTCGTTTGGATTAATTTGTTCGGTTATGATGTATTTTAAATTAGAAATGTAAATATGAGTCGAATTCATTTTTCATAGACGTAAAATATGTTATATAAAGTGAATTGTCGTTTTAAAGTATTCTTTCTTGTTCTTCATTTATGGTTAATTTTACGAAAATACGAAGTTTTTGATTGTTGCGTCCTAAAATAAATATTTGGAAAGCATTTACTCTAGATCTAGAATAATAACGCAGAAATGTATTATAGGAAATATAGCCTATGAAAGACAATTAATTGGTTTTCATATGTTTCAATTTATCATAGGTTCTGCCTTTCAAAAATCAAGTAATATAAGTTGGATTTGATTCAAGAGTCTTGCTGCACAACAACACAGTTGTGCCAATCCATTCTTGACACAGCATTCTTACTGTGTCCACTTGTGCAAAAGCATAAAGTGAGAAAAGGTGGATATAAATTGGATGTGTAGAATACAAATAATTACGGGGACTGGCAATCTGCAACCGGTTAGGCTATTATACAGGATGCCCATTAAGTCTCTCTACAGTTTCAATTTTGTTATGAAGCCATTCTCAATATATATATCTTAATGGTTTGTTGTATTTTAATCAGTAGTTATTCAAGTATTTTTACTTTATCTAATACATCTGTGAGGGCCAAAATAATATATGGTATCGATAAATTCCCTCTGCAATTTTAAAACATTTTAAGACTATATGGAAACCCTATATTACATATATATATAGGTAGTATGTGCACATCGACATTCTCTGTGCTTATTGAAGTTTAAAACAAAGGCTTGTGGTAATTGTTAAGCGAGGAAAGTTATTTCCTTGATCAAACCAATGAGCAAACAGAATCGAAAGTGTGTCGCAACCTGTCACCTTAAATTAAAAATTCAAATCAGATCAGTTCGCAAATCGTTTGAAGAGTTGGGATTCAGCATTTCCCAATCACGTGGAAGATTTTGCAATCTAGTAGTGAATAATACTTCACCAATGAGTAAAGTTATCGAAGTTGCAAATCGTATATGTGCCGCGTTCGTGAAACACCATTAATAAAAGTACCAAGTATGTACCTTATTTGGGCAGCTAAGGGCCTGTTATACCAGTCCGACAATTTCACTGCGGTAAGCATATTTCGCAATGTGTGTATTTCGTATTTATTGGAGGACAAACAACCTGAGTACACATACAGTTAAGTGCCTTTGTTTAATATCATGAAAAGTTCGTAGCGTGAGACAAAAAGCAGCAGATAAGGCGAAAAGGTGGTGGCCCCGTGTATCCGCTAACAGTATTGAGGTTTATAAGGTCTAAAATTACCATTCGAAGCATATGGGCAGTTTTCACCGTTATGTAATAAAATTTTGACAATATGATAATATTTTTGCACATTGATACTCAGATTTACAAATCTTTTTAATGTTCAAGAGTACGTCTGACGGGTTTTGTGAAATTTGCAAACGAGCGAGAGTAAAGAAAAACTAGCGATAGAAAACGCGCAGTACCGTACACGTGTATTTGAGTAACCTGATTTAGTAATTATTTTCTCATTTCAAATTTACGTTCTTTCATCTGTGACATCATAATAATATAAGGCTTTGGTGTTGTTCGTAGCATTTATTCATCTCTTTCAGTAATTAGTAATGTTAGAGTAACAAGTTTTTATTTGTTCATTATTTATTTTTTGTATTTTATTTATTATGGACGTAGAAATAGGAAAGCCAGAAGCGCTAGGGATTATATTAATATTTGAATATAACTAATAACTGAAATCAAAATGGAAGTGTGTTCTAATTTTGCTCGTGCTATTACCCGCAAGAAGCATATTGATGAAGGAACAATGAATGAGTCGAAGCTGAGAAGGATTCTAAATACTTTTGATATAACTGCTCTTGGTGTTGGATCAACTCTGGGTGAGTTTTTTTCCCACAAGTTTGGGTGAAAAATTGAGCATTTTTAAAAAAGTTTTATTTTAATTTCAAAATTATAATCTGTTCCTATTAATCGATTTTCTCTGTGATCAATTCTTATTTTTAATAATTCCCGAGCGTTTTATTTTTTGCGCCATAGTAATTAATCTACTCATAAATTAACCGAAAAAATAAAATCTTCCTTATTGTGTTAATATTAATATTATGAAATAAATATGTTACAAACGCGTGATCTTGAAAATTAACCTTTAATTAAAAAATGCCCCAAAGGGTTGTTAGAGATGCAGCGTTATTTCTATCTTAACGTTTGTCGTTGCAGGTGCGGGAGTCTACGTACTGACAGGGGCCGTTGCAAAGAATACCAGTGGACCAAGCGTTGTTATTGCGTTTCTCATCGCAGCATTGACTTCAGTACTATCTGGTAAGTTAAAAGTCCGGACCGCTGTCTATATGGCAGTTTATTAGGTACTCCTGAAGTATGGGTACCAAGATGGCGGACACCGGAACGTAATATGTGTACCAAATTAGGGTTAGGCCATAATTTTATTCCAATTCCCCTTGTTTTCGTTCTATACGAGTTCGAGGACTAGCCAAGTGACTCCCGTAGTATTTGTACCTAGAATTATGGCCTAACCCTAACCTGGTACACATACTACTTTCCGGTGTCCGCCATCTTGGTACGCATATTTCAGGAGCGCTGTTTATTGAGCCGTCTATACGATGGAGGTTATGGCGATTTGGGTTCATATATACACCCTTTTATGTAGCTGATCTAAAAAATCTATGCAGTTGTGTGTTTAAGATTCCAACAACTACGCTAATAGTGGCACATTCAAGTTGCGATATGTGATGCATATATCCATCTCTGCTTCTAGCTAGTAACGGGCAAAATGTTGTAGCGTCCAAGGTATTAAGTACTTATATAGTGTGATACTGTTGAAATAAGTAAATAAATTTCCGAGGTAGGGAGTTAAAACGTAAAATAAACGCAAAAATCGAGAAATGTAAAATTAAAAGTATAATGAATCAATCATATACGCCGTATTTTAAAGATACTGAAATCAATTATACTCAAATATACGATTGATATTCTTGCTGCGATAATGTAGAAAAACTAATATAATATTCATAGTTATTGATGGCATTTTGAAATATTGATATGAAAGTCCTACAATTGTCGGCGAAAGCAGGGATGTGGAGTCAGGAGTCCAGTTTTAAACATTTATTTTAAAATTGTCGGATTGGTATTTTCGGACTTTCGGGAGGCCGGAATCAGAGTTACAAGTACAGTGATAATCGAATCAATTTTGCACAGAAACGAAAAAAATAACTTGACTGTCTATCAAAGAAGATTTGCACGTTTTTGAAAAAAATTTTTTTTGGTTTTTCGAAGCTGGTCTTGCGTCATGCGCCGGAGTCAAATTTTTAATCATCCCGTGGTCGGAGTCGACTGTGAATTTTTCCCCGACCATGCAGCCCAGGGCAACAACTTAATTTTTTCGTTCTAAGCCACGGGGGAATTATATATCATCTTCTCTCACATGCCCCGAAGAAACGTTTAGTTACTTATTAAGATTTTATCGCCAATATGAGGTCAGATATCGATCATAATATAAATTTTATCAGTCTGTCGTGCCTTATCTTAGTATGGGAGATTATTAACGGAAGTTTAATTTAAGGTAGTATTGTTTAGTCGGCGGTTCTGTCGTTTTCTCATATTAATGCTGATTGTGTATAGAACGAGAGCGACTTATCAAGTTGGTACATTCATATCTGAATACAAAAGGCTTGCTCGATTAAAACAAAATTCATAAATTTCTTATTAATTCTACGAAAACGGAAGAAATTTTTTTTAACACTTGAACTTTTGGCGCTCAAGAAGTGTGTGTACCAATGCAGAGGTGGTAACTTATTTCGCCTACTTTACATCAAGTTGTGTCAAGGGATGGAAGCGTATGGGCAGGGGGTATATTCACTTGGCTAACACAGACGGTCCCCGAACTCGTAATATGACTAAAATAAGGAAAAACGAAATAAAATTGTGGCCTAACCCTAACTTGGTACACACACTACCGGAGTATTCTATAAAGAATTATGGCAGTGAATATCCCGTTGGCAAAGACCGATTGACGCAACACTTGAAGAGGTAGTTAAGGTCATTACGACAAAGAAAACTTTATTATCCCCGTTTACGAGTATTCAATTTTTATATCAAGGGTATAAAAGTAAGATTATTTCGACATAAGAACCTCAATTCTCATGCACGACAATATACCAATAAAAATATTTATCAGATTGAAGACTCCGAGTGAGAACTGTTGATTCTGCCCGTCTTGATCAAAATATTTTTCCGCGTGTAAATAATCTATAATTCTGCCAGGATTTTTGCAGTCCCCAATGTCGTCAACCTGGCGGTTTACGAACATTTTACATACAATTTTACAACCTTTCCATATTTAACGATAAAATAGATAAACTACAGAATCGCATAAAAATGGATGGTTTTTAGTGACCCTCAGGTCACTATAACTGTCGTCAACGCTAATGGGCATTCTAGTAGCGCGATGCAAATGAATGAATAATTTATCACGGTGACACCAACGGATCCTGGAATATATGATTTCCTTAACCACAATCCCCGCAATAGTATACTAATGCATAACGTTCCGTATCAAATTAATTATAAACTAATTTAAACTGAAAAATTTACGTAAAACTAATTCAAGAATTTTATGCCAAGACAGTGCGATTGTTTTAAAATTTTCATTACAACCTTTTTTCTTGAATAAGTCGTTAGAATTTACTTAGAATCTTTTTATTGAGAGAATAAAAATATACATTTGAAGTCGCTGATTCATAACCCGCTTTGTTTTCCGGTGCCCATCCTCGTAAAACGGTGTGCATCCTCTATTCTCGTTATCTGTGTAAGATTGATTTTTGCTGGTTGGCTTCATGCAATTCGAGTGGTCGAATGGTAATCGCTGATAAATAATGACGCAAATTACGTAACAGATGAAATATTCGTAAATTTGAACGTGAATTATATATTCTTGCAAGTGATATTCACTGGATAGGTATATCTAATGGTGGATTTGCAGTTATGCGTACAATATTTTTCAATAAATTTAACTTGAAGCCAATTTACATCCAATTCTCAAAGCGACGAAGCACCCATGTGCGAAGTGTCATACAACCATTCATGTCTTGTTGTGCAGATGAGTGCATTTCATGGAATCTTTATTAGAACAATAGGGCGAGTCCTTCGCTGGTCATTTCAACAATGTTTGAAGATAAATTGTCAATGATTAACAGCGACTATAGTAAATCAATCAACGTCCGGTAGGTCCTTAAAGTAACAGAATGATTTTTAACTAAGGAGTAAGCAAAATTTGCGCAAATATTGTTTCAGTAAATAAAGAGTGCAAAGTTTGTTGGTCGAATTGGTCGCGAATCTAACAAATACTATAGGTTGCGTGCAATTATTGCCGATACACAACGTTTGCGGACCAACCGCGTATGACGTATTCATTCTAGGCGTAGCCTGAGTAGCATCGTATTACGTCCTTATACAAAACAAAAAATGTGTTCCCCCCAAAAAAAAAGAAAAAATTGGGCAGGCTACGCTCTTGCGCGATGGTCTGTTTACCGGCTTGTTTGACCCGTTGTATTTAATTCTGGTTCGAATACCATGCCCGTTACGTTCCCGTGTTGTAATGAATTGGGTAGGACGACACATAGGTTGCATTCTCAACCTATCACCGAAGCAAGTAGTAGCCTAGCTCGGCGTTGCTCAACTCCTGAGATCAGATTTGGTTTAACTCTCAATGCATGTTGTTACAGCCCGAGTTTCGCGAAAAAACAGACTGCGTGCAACACGTAACAATTTTGCATGGAAATTCAATATGAAATAACTTGTAATAAATTCATGGAAATATATTTACGGCGTTTTTGAACAATGCTGTGCGTTAGAAGCTATTGTAAGGGGATGGCGTAAATGGGTTTTTATCCCAATATTTTTAACATGCAATTCCAACATAGTCCATTCCAACGCTTCAACCCCTAGCCCCGGCCCATCGCGCAATATCTGAGTTCGTTAGGACGGGGTCACGGTATATCAAATATCACAACACAATAAATATATTTATAATATTGGAACAATAGATTATTCTATTTTTATTTCACAGGTTTATGTTATGCCGAGTTTGGAGCACGCGTGCCTAAAGCTGGATCAGGATACGTTTACAGCTATGTTACAGTCGGCGAATTATGTGCCTTCGTCATTGGGTGGAACCTCATTCTCTCTTACGTGATTGGTGAGTATTATTATTGCACCATCATAACAGCCAATCAAATGCGACTTTGGGTCGAACTTGGGCGTGACTTCTATCCAATGTTCGAACATCATCTTCCGAATTTTCAGCTTTTGACTCGTGTATAGCGCAGGGAATTCTGCGAAACACCTAGACTGTACGATAGTACCCCCTTGTCTCAGTTTGGTGGGCGTTAACGCCGATTGTCAACGGTTAATTTTGATTGGATGTTATGGCTTTGGATAAAAATAGGCCATTGTATGATATGTGAGGGTACTCGAAAGTCGTCTAAAGAGGCGACAATGCACAATTGAAAAATTCTATCTCCAATATGCCTCAAACGACAAATACACTAAAAATAAATTCAATTTGCTGATAGTTATTAGTTACAGTGACGGTTTTCTATTGTGTTATATTATTGTCGATTATTACATATGGGTCTGTCAATCAAGTAGATCCAGTGGGTCGGTAGTTGAACAATACATTTATTTATATATTCATTGCTTAGTCTAGATTCTTTATTTCAATATTTGACACTCCTCAGTTTTCAACCAATCACGTCTCTGATGATATTTGTACCTACAGGAAGAAACATAATATTTTGCTCTGGAATAACACTGGTAACAATTTGAATAGGCGTATTCGGGGTACATTATTTTTGGTTCCTTGTTTCCGATAATTGTAAATATATCATCACAATATATAAGGGAGGGTTCTAAGTTATTTGCATTGTTCTCTCGTTTCTAAGAAAATACAATATATTGTAACTGTTAATATTGCAACATAGAAGGACGGTTTCGAGGTACATTTGCATTGTCAATTGTTTCCGAGAAAATGTGTAGATATCGTCCACATCACCACAGACTTCCCGGAAAGTAAAAACTGTCCCTGCAGTATTTAAAACACTACCAAAACACTACCACTACTCGTAATATGTTTCACACGGAGCCAAAGTCGATTCTAAATTTGCGCACACTTCACAGCGTGGCAACGTCGTCTTAACAAAAACGTGTCTTAGCGAAAACATGTCATTATATAACCGTTTCTACTTGAGCAAGCCATTATCTCGCGACCGCCTTTGAATACCAATACTTGTTGATTTTTATTACTCGTCTTTTTTTATCCAGGTGCTGCCAGTGTTGCCAGGGCTTGGACAGCAAATTTCGATGCTTTGCTAGGAAATAAGATTGAGACATTCATGTTGAGTTGCTGTTCGATGAACGCTCCTGGACTTGCTGCTTATCCTGATATATTTTCCTTCGTTATTATCATTATTTTAACAGGTGAGTTGATATACAAAATAATAGTAAAATTATGGATTACGAACTAACTAGCAGTTGCAAGTGAGCTCTTTTTTCGGTGTTGGGGGATCACTCACGTTTTTCAAGACTTCGTGACTTGACTAAATTCGACACAACTAACCACTGGGGAAACTTGACTTGATTCTGAAGAAAAGTTGCGCCATATTATCGAGTGACCAGACCAGCAATTCGACTTGGCTTGGGAATCGCGAGTGCAATGACTGGACTTGGGAGTTGGGACTCTAATTTTGAAATTTTATTGGACTCTTATATCACGTGACTCGCGACTGAGGTTCAGCGACTTAGAACATTATCTTTTTCCCGATTTTTTTTAAATGTTCTTCCATTTATTGGGTTAGGTAAATTTCGTCTTAACGAGAACATGAAAATATTCGAATATCCTGTTCCTTATTTTTCCCATTGATTTTTGATAAAAACATCAAGCCATCAATTTATTATTCCAAAATATGCGATTTCACCATTTACGATGTTTTGATAAAATCGTTCAATGTGGCAACCAGGGAATTATTCTGGTCTATAAAACCTAATAATTTTGGTTCCTCTTTTTTCTGGTTTGTTTTGATTGGTATTGTGTGAAATGTGGTTTGATTTCCTCTTCATGATGATGGTAAGGTGAAAGCGGAATTTCGATATATTTTGTTTTTATTCGAATAAAAGTGATGGATGTTTCATTTCTCACGTTGAAGATACATTAGGCAAATTAATACACATAACTTGATCAATATTTACTTATAATAGAATATCTTTCTATTTATACTTTTTATTTTTTGTAAATTTATATTTTTTATTTTTTATGTAAAGAGCTACTTACTCCATTTTTTCCTTTATGAATCGGAAATATTTCCGGTTCGACCTCGCCTACGATTATTTATACCCTGCATGAGGTGGTGGATATGGTATTCAAACGAGATATTTGTAATCCGACATAGCTAAGTTGAATGTTTAGATTAGACCGCTATGCCGTCACAAAACACCTGAAAATCGTCTGTATGGGCATAAATTTATTTCACGTATTTTCAAAGGGAAATATTACCATGCGCTGGTATTCTCTCGGCGATGTGAGAACATTTCCAAAAATATACTTCAAACGGTTTAATAACAACATTGCGCCATTCTATACAATAACATTATTAAAACAAATCGATTGAACAACACTTGCAGACCACCGGTAGGACAACATTTTTACTGTCACAATCAGTAAGTACCACTTCATTCCCCACATCACGTACGAGCCATCAGACGCCAATACAAATAACGGTACAGTTGGTATAACGCGGATAAGGTTAATTCATTCAAGTATTTTTCATAAACGAATATGTAGGTAGGCCTTGTATAACAGCTGGAAAGAGATTGAAAAATCTCTGCCCTTCTTATTTGCTCCAGGCCAGAAATCTCTTAGCTATTTTGTTTCCTGCGAGTGCTGGGTTAACATTAGGGGATGATGCACGATTCAATTGCGCTCTTTCTCAATGGGTACCACTCGACTTTATCAGGATTAAAAAATCATTAATAACGACATTTTATAGTTTGGATCGAAAGCTTCTCCTTATTTTCTAGTAGAATACCAATATATTTTCGATTATTCGCGAAAATACCTCAATTAACGCTGTAATAAAATTTACAAATCAATCAGTTGCTAATTTTTTTTTTTTTTTTTGTTGCCAATTTCAATCTGCTCATTATTACAGACAAGACAGTGAGGTACATATCAAACATATAAAAAATAAGTATATGCTAATGCCTCATTTCTGCCACACCGTGAGGAGGAGTGAGTATCAAATTATTAGAAGTGGAGCATGACCACTACAACAGAGTAATAAATTATTAAATCGTGTTCACCTATGTTTCAATATCGTTTTATTCGAGGTTTTCCAGGTAAAATACGGCTGATTTTGATTTGCATAATAACTAACTAATAACTAAAAATATCTGCTTATACAGATATTAAAATCCTAAAAAATATCTGAATACTTTGTGGAAAAGTCGCGATGTCAACATCCCATTCTAGAAACTAAAATTTGAATATACCGAAACATCGTTACACCAATGTAGTCTCCAATGCAACGGAAATGACTGGTCGAATCATGCAAATTATTCTGTACGAGAGGACACGGATACGGAAGCATAACTTCCCAGTTGCTCTTTCTTTGTGATTGCTAAATTTAGGGCGGAACATTTTTTTGAGTTGTACGTAAGAGAAACGTGTAATTTTGCCATTTTCCCACGCATAAAAGTGGGGTCGACTGGATCAAGCTCTATTGAATGAAATTACCTACGTCACTCACGCAATCAGGTCACGTTATTATTTCATTGTACCGAAAGTTTTGATAACGTTTTCGTCGGGTGATCGACGTAATCCCTCAAGAATTCTGTTTATTCAACCATTGAGTCTCGATTACAGAGGTATTTCAAAAATTTGTCTCGCATGCGTGAATATATTAGACATAGCGCCGAAAATTTAGTAAGGGTGGCATCGGAATGTAACAATCACAACATGGGTTGGTTAGTAACGTACGCTGCTAAACTGTGGCGTAATTTGCCGCTCGATTGTATATATATATATACATGAAATATATTTTATAAATAAAGAAAATTCAGTCGTTTGGTAATAAATTCAGCAGTGGTTGTTTTCGAATAAGAATTGTGAATTCGTATTCCGTGTTGGCAGGCTACACATGCGCTAATTTTGATCGGATTCTTAACAGGTCATAGGGTTTCTTCCTTTCTAGGGTTCATGGCATGTTTTTTGCAGTTTCTACTACAGTCGGTGAATCACCGTGTTTATTCGAAAGTAGCCCAGAACCTCTTCCATAGATTATAATGTCATATCGGTACGTTGTTTGTTCACAAGTATAGAACATGGATGTGCCGTGCGTTACTGGCGATTTTAATATTTCTAAGTTATAATGTAGCTCCCTCCGGCCAATTTTGGGATAAACACTGTCGACGTGACTCAAGACATGTTACATGGGGTCATAACACCGCCGGAAGTTAGTCATGCATAACCGAAAAATCGCGGGAATTTCACGTCGTCAATGAACGAAATTTTTGTCTGAGTTTTCCACACCGCTAATTTAATTTGACAAAAAGGTTTGCATACCGACGTCTCATTTCTAAGTTACCGATTTCCTTTTATGTGCGCCATTATACGATACTCTGGTATTCAATACCACGTCGACGTACCTGATCTACACGACATGTACTGATAAATAATCAGACGGTTGGCCGTGGTTCGCTATATGATTAGGGCGTCATATCGGCTTTCCTTTCCCCCTGGATGATATGGAAATCCTATGCTAAATAAACAAACTACTTATTTGAGATACATATTGCGGCCATGGGCGTTAGCATAAAAAATTCTGTTATATAAATAAACTTAAAACCATCAAAATAGTGGCATACAATGGGCGTCAACGTACAACATGCTTTTCAAGGAGACAATGGGCGTCAACGTACAACATGCTTTTGAAGGAGTACAGACCAACGCTTAGAGATCCCCTTTGCGGGATTAACCAAATTTATACACAAAACCTCAATAGTTTTTTTGTTATGTCAAATATTTTCTCCGTATTACTCTGCTTTTAGCGTTTTGTTGTTAAGCACACACGGACATCATTTTGATGCTGTTAGCGGTACTATGTCTTCTCCCGTGATATGCGTCATAGTGGAGGTGTCGTATTTCCATCAAAGAATCAAAAATTTATTTAAATCGTGGCCTCATTTGTGCCATGCGTGATTTAGGTTAATATGATCAAATTATCAAACGATTATGTTTGTCCTAAGATGGTAATAACATTCTTACATTAAATTTATGAATATAACGCGATGGAACAAAACGGTTAAACCAGTCTCTCATCCGGAACGCCCGCGTGAAATCACGCCCCCGAAACGCCCACTTTTCGGCAGATTTGATGTCAACGATCTGTGGTCCAAGCACGGTCAATTATAATTCGCTTTAAATGCTTTGTGGCGGAAAATTTACATCCTGTTTGGGATGTTGAGCAAGCGAGGTCACACATGCTTACAATAATAAGCTGGCTATAAAAATATAACTTCCATATCAGGTTTTGACTATAATTATACAAACAACAATGAAATATAACTTGACCATAATATCAATGTTCTACGTGGTTCAAATATGTAGGTAACGTTATACCTGCCCCTGAATATGACCTGACAAAAGACCGTGGCTCGAAATAATTTAAGCATAAATGATTGTCGCAATTGGCCCCCACTGCCTGCACAGAGCCTTGCTTGGAGTGAACAAGATGTGAAAGGTCGTATAAAAGTGATACCATAATTTCTTAGAAAACTTTCTGTTTGCTTGAAGAAATAATTGCATTATACACTATAGATTATGGTTTCTTAGTTAAATTATATAGGTATACACAAAGCGCTTATGGGAAAGTAAAATACATGTTAGAATCTTTTTGTGGCCTGGTAATGCCCATGGCTACAAAACTACGTGTTAATACTTCGAACTGGTGTATATGTATAAACAGATGACTAGTTGTTTATTGGGTGGTTGTAATTATGCCATATCTTTACTGGAATAGTAATTTATTTCCATGCTGAATTGGTTTGAAATTTAAACAAATACAGTATTAGTTTACACCATTGAAATATTTTCTTCTATGTGACTCCTCAGAATTCATATATTATCCGAAATTAATTTGTATGTACCAGCCACCACAAGAGAGATCATCTCAATTAAAAGATTCTTAATAGTTGTCATATTATATATTACCAACCCTATTTTCTCAGCTCTAATTGCTTTCGGTGTGAAGGAGTTTGCAGTTGTCAATAAAATTTTCACTGTGTTGAATATCTGTGTTATCATATTTGTTGTGATTGCTGGACTCACTCATGCCAACTTAGAATACTGGAATCTCACACCCGATCAAATCTACAACATGACTATTGAAGCGTAAGTGTTTTAACATAGATAAAGCAATGAGTAATCAACAGTTAACATTTATTTTAAGTTCTTCGCACTTCCAAAAGCAATCAATTTAAAATTTCTAGTACTTGAAGCTGGCAGAAATTCCTAGAAGACTGTTACCTAATTTTTTACAATATTTTTTTCGTGTTCTATTTGACCTAGAATTTCAGTGCTTGGGTACACTTCCATATTACCGTTAACCCATTAGCATTGCTCTCTTGTTAAGAAAATTTTTTTTTGTAAAAAATGCAAGATACAGCTACCGTAATTTACTGAATATATTATAAAAATCTTTCTCCTGAAATCTTTCTTACCTAATGTATGTTTGTGGCGAACTTTAAATTGTGCCAACAGAAATAGTTTCAATGTATGAATGACCATTTTCAGATCATTTTTGATATTTTCAGGAATAACACTGTTAATGTTACGTATGGTGAATATGGAACCGGTGGATTTGCTCCGTATGGATTTGCAGGTTTAATATCGGGAACTGCAACATGTTTCTATGCTTTCGTTGGCTTCGATTGCATCGCAACAACAGGTTTGTTAGAGTGTTACACTGTTATTATCTTGTGTTTCAATGCAAACTATCAAACCTTTTGTACAAGCATAGAAGATGATTTGCCACTTTCTGTTCAAGTGTTAAACAGCACACTTTCCATTGCACTACTGATTAACCGGCGCTCCAGAAGTGTGTGTACCAATATGGAGGTAACTAATTTTGTTCGCATATTTTACATCAAGTTGTGTGAAAGGACTGAAATAGGAAAAATCAGAATAAAATTATGGCCTAACCCTAACCTGGTACACATACTACGGGAGTACCGATTACCGTTTACCATATGGGATAAGATTTACGGTACATACTTTTCCCTAGAGAACGAAAAGATGATAAGACAACTTAACAATATGCGGAACCATGTACTCTCATTCGGACTTTAGTAATAGCTTGACTATGATTAGTTCATCTTATTGCCTACCAGAATGAATATAGAATATCCTATCTTTATCACAACTCTAGAATCATAAAATTGTTGCAGTTTCGTTAATATGATATTATTCCATTTATGACACCAATTACCGGTAGATATCCATCGTTGGTTGTAAGACATTTTTCAATTTGATTTCATCATAAATAAGCAAGTTTTTCATTTGAAAATATATTTACATTGCAGATAAGCGGATTGGCTACGGCTTCGCCATCACATTACACACCCCCCTATATGTTCAGCCGGTTCATCTTCCTGGCCCGTAAAATATTTTATAATACCGCAAATACTGAGAGAGATTATAAGAAGTTTCACGTCAGTCTTCCCTCGGGCATTTCGACTAATTGTGTTAAAATGTCGTCATTGTAGACCACACACACAAGTCTTTGGAAATTTGATACAGCTTTACTGGTCCATTGTAATATATCATAATCTGGCAATGGTATTGATTTTCAACTCGATTTTACCAGTTTTTGTGACTGGCATAACTGCTATGGTGTTTAAATTAGTTTTTGCATTACTAAAGAGTCAAATTAACTAAGTTTGAAATAGTTTGGTCTGATAAGTTATTAAGATGTTCAATTTACAAATTATGTCTATGAATTATACCAGTGACGGTTGACAATTCTTTGACAGATGTAGAACACCCACACATCCTCGTCAAACAGTCATTTATGCATTGAAATCTATCATGTTATTGGAGAATTCCATTTTTTTTTTTTGTTTCACACATTTATATTTAAAAAAATAGTTGCTTTTACTCTTTTCATATAAAAATCGAAGTGTTATTTAAAAAAATATTGCAAAACTGTAATTTGAAGATGCTTTTACTCTTTTCATATGAAATTCGAAGCGTTATTTAAAAAAATATTGCAAAACTGTAATTTGAAGATATGTGATTAGTGCTATTATTGGACTTCTATTAGTAAATAATCCCCCCAAAAAATATGATGCTAAGTTTCTGAAAATATGATTTTAATGTGTCGAATTGATCAAATCTAACTTATTTCTGTAAAGCATTCAGTTCCAAAATGAATTTATTGGAACTAATTCTAGGATTGTGAAATAGCTACTTAGTTTGCAAAATAATACAACAAAATCTCCTATTTTCAAAAACTTCAAAAAAGTCATCCAAAACTTTGCAAGACTCTTAATAGGCGCTTCGTTACCAAAGCAACGACATCTATTATTTAAATTTATATTTCAGGCGAAGAAGCAAAAAATCCACAAAAGGCAATTCCGTTGGGTATTGTTTTCTCATTGACCATCTGTTGTTTCGCCTACCTCCTAATTTCATCAACGCTAACACTAATGCAACCATACTTTCTTCTGGACACTGATGCTCCGTTACCGTACGCTTTTGAGTATGTCGGACTAGAATGGGCAAAAATACCAGTTTCGATCGGAGCAATTTGTGCTCTCTCTACCAGGTGAAGTTATAAGATTTATATGTTGATGATTTTTATATATTTTTTCATAATTGGAAATATAATGGTCAATGGAACAAGCAATCTAGAGATTTCATAAACTTATATTTTCTTCGTATATTGTGTGTTCATGATTGGATTTCGGATAACTAAGTTGCTAGAAAATGATTGAAAGCCAAGAGGTTAAAGGACAACCAACTCTAACTGTGTTGGCAATTCGTATCGTAGATTACAAATTTTGGATTCAAATTTAAAGACCTTACCCGGGGTGTAATGATTGGGTGGGCTTTCCAAACCGGAAAGATTCTAGTCCCTTCCACTAAAAAGTATCTTCTGACCTATTTTAATCAGTGGGTCTTTGGATGTATAGGGCAGTGTTTAAGACACATGTTGATTGTTTAATATCATGAACTTGGAGACGTAACATAATAGATCCTATTCAAGATTTAAGTTTTTTGTTTTGTTCATTTATTTCTTGTAACCAACTGAGGGTTGTTATTTGTGGGACTTGTGACTTGAATATTTTTTACAACCAAAATTTGACCGTTAATCACACCTGAAACCGAGAATCGCTTGAAGAATCACCAAGGAATTTCGGTAATTGGGCGTAATTAAATGTAACTAATTGGTACAGATTTCGAATTGCCAATCATATTATTCCTATTGCCATCACTAAGTCAAATATTTAATTCTATTATATTTAATTAAAAAACAAGTTTCAGACCAGTGCTTACTATTCTCCTGTGGTATATGTACCAGCTTAGACTAAGGCCCTAATTTTATTCCGATTTTCCTTATTTTTGGTTCTATTACAAGTTTTGGGTCTGTCTGTGTTATCCAAGTGAATATACCCCTTGCTCATAGGTTTCAATCCCTTCACACAACTTGATGTAATGTAGGCGAAAATTTTTTTACCTCCATAATGGTACACGTACCTTGGAGTGCCGTGCTTACATCTTCAATACAGCTTGAAAAATAGACTCAGAACAAGCGCCATTAACTACATAGCAAGCTACTTGTTTTAATATAACTTTACATTTTGGCATTGCCTATCAAACTTATAAGAGAATGAAATATAATTTTTTTCACAGTCTGCTGGGGTCCATGTTTCCGATGCCTCGTATCATCTATGCTATGGCAGTGGACGGACTTCTCTTCAGTTTTTTTGCAACGGTCAGCAAGAAAACAAAAACACCTGTGATCGCAACTTTCATCTCTGGAACATTAGCAGGTAAGCTTAGATTGTCAACATTTGATTTTTTAGTGGTTATAGTGTTTTGCTTAAACTTATCTAAATTTGCAACCATTTTTTGAAATTTTGATTTTGAACGCATGTCTACCTACTCAACCAGAGTATATAAAATTGATTAGGTTGTGCCAAACCAGAAAGCTTTCTGTCCCTTTAAAAAATATAGTAGCTATATAGCAAAAAGTTGCTTTTACAGTATCTTTAGTGGAAGGTAAACACGCTGCACAATGTGTAGGGTAGCTTCTCAGTTGTTGGACTTGCATTAGGGCAGTTCACATATCTGCTGTTGGAGTTCATTCTATTTATGATATCTATGCATTGTAATGATTGAAATCCTTTTTATTGTATCCAGGTATCATGGCTGTCCTATTTGATTTGAAGGAATTAGTTGATCTGATGTCAATCGGAACATTGGCTGCATACACTCTCGTTGCTTCATCTGTCATGTTATTAAGGTAAACATATTAATATTAAGATAAGTACCACCATAATTTAGCTTGGCAGATGGTGGTATCGTAATAAGTGTTAATAATACGCTTGCCATTGCACCTCTGATTACTTTGGCATAGGTTGTCCGTTTGAATCTTGTGTGAGGGATAATTATGTGTGAAAAGATTCATGGACTCTTTGTTCCGCTTTCACTCCATATCCTGGTGATCTCCTCTGTCATCAAGTTTATGCATCTAAAAACCAATAACTGGTTAATTGTTTCCGAAACAATTATGGATTGGTGACAGGTCGGTTCACCATACATACGTTCATGTAATCTCCTCAACATTCTGCTCTCCATGATGAATATGAAAACTCTTTTTTTAGATTTCCCTCAATTCGCTAAGATCATTTATGATATATTTTCTTATTCAGGTATCAGCCAGAAAAGCGACCTCGTTTGAAGCACGTATCTTCCATGAAACCTGGTGGGTTCGACGGTGAAAAAGCCATGATGGACACAGCACCAATGACCACTGATAATGGTTACACTGGCCATGAAAGGAAGAGTTCATTCAATGTGGTACATTTAGTCATACCAAGGGGCAGCAGTCCCACTGAAATGTCATCAACAATTGTTAACTGGGCAACTGTTATTACCGGTTTGTTGGTTTAAAACTTTTTTTACTATTTGTTCCAGTTGTCTGAATTAGAGTTTGGGGTACTCCCGTAGTATGTGTACCAGATTAGGGTCAAGCCATAATTCTATCCCGATTTTTCTTATTTTATTACTATTACGAGTTCAGGGACTGTCTGTGTCAGCCGTTTGAATATCCCCCTGCCCATAGGTTTCAGTCCTTTTACACAACTTGATGTAAAATAGGCGTACAAAATTAGTTACCGCAATAATGGTACACATACTTCTGGAACCCAGAGTTTGGCATGTAAATATAGGTTTTTCTCAAGTTATTTTTCAAGGTTTGCCCTTTTAGGCTGTAAAGCTCAATGTTTTTATTATGTTGGAGCCAAAGCCGTATTTTCAAATGTTTCAGTGCTGGTGTCGAAATCTTAAATTTTCGGATTCAAAATTAAAGGCTTTCAATGGTGATAATGCGTCTGAACAACTGGTTAACTGTTCCCATACCCAAACTTTCCGACATGGGCTGGTAACCAGACAAGAAACCATGGTTCGCCATATGAATAAGTCGTCTTATTAACTTTGCTCTCCCTGGGATATATATGAAATTTTTATTGTCCTTTCTTATAATGGAAGCCAACATTTCTGAAATAAGCTTCAAAAGCATCAATGTTCTTGAATTCGGAGCTGGAGTCATTAATATTTGATTTTCTAGTGGGTATAGTGTTGGTAACTTACAAACCAGCTGAGGAGTTGGAGCCAGGGTTGTTTTGCAAATGGTCTGTTTTTAGAGGCAGAGTAACTTCCCCCAACTTCGTTCTGTGCCCTGACACTAATCTATCTCGAATCTTCCAGGTACTTCAATGGTTTTATTCAGCATTGTTGCAATAATAGCTGGCAAGAATGGATGGACGACTGGATCTATATTATTTGCTTGTATATTTGGCGTTGTCATCATAGGTGCAAGCATTGTGATAATTCTTCAACCTCAAAACAATGAAAAATTAACGTTCAAAGTAAGATTTAAAAATTTGTAAATTAACTTTGGTGTCATACTTTTTGAATTGGTTGGAGATTGGGTACCCTCATAGTATGTGTACCGTATAATTTTATTCCGATTTCCCTTATTTTAGTTCTATTTCGAGTTTGGGGACTGTCTGTGTTATGCAACTGAATATACCCCCTGCCCATAGGCTTCCGTCACTTTACACAACTTGATGTTATGTAGGCGAAAAAATTAGTTACCTGCATATTTCTACGCATACTTCTAGAGCGCTGAAAATAGTTCACTAAAATAAAATATTCTGGCATCATGGTGCTTTTTTCAAGACAGTTTGCTTAAAGCAAGCTCATGCACAATCATTTAGAAGTCGAAGTGAATTTCAGAATTACTGAAGGGCCAAGAGCTATTAAACTGAGCTACTATGGATTATAAAGTATTATGTTTCCCTTCACTGCGAATCATGTAAATCTGCAGTAAATCGCAACTACTCATTTAATAGCATAAGCATGTGCTGAGTAGCAACTACTCATTTAATAGCATGAGCATGTGCTGAGTAATGATGGTTTGGGACTAAAGTCCCTAAACCCTGAGTCAGGTCATAGGTCGTCAAAGTCCGAAGTCAAACCAATCATTTAGTTAAGTCTCGCTGAAGTTAGTTAATGATGAGTCAGAGACATTTCATTTTTTTAGACTCGAGTTATTTCAGAGTCTTTGATGACTTTAGTCCAACTCTAGTTGAGTCAATAACTCAAGCCTTCCCATTCCCAACAATGGTAATACTTGTAATATATTTTCATTCAATCAATTTTAACAATCTTGGTGATCTTAGAAAAAATAACATAAAAATTTTTTTTTCCAGGTGCCTCTTGTTCCATTTATTCCTATAATCAACATGTTCGTAAATCTATATTTGATGGTTTCACTGCCTGTCAGTACGTGGTATAAAATGGTTATATGGATGGTTGTAGGTAAGACATTTAAAACTTTCGACTTTTAGATTGAATTTGGAGACTGTTTTCGTCAGTCGAAATAGGAAAAAAATCGAATTGCTCAATTGATTTTCAATGGATACTTTGTCCGAATTTTTCAAATAATTGTCAACTTGAATTCATCCTGGCTGTAGTGCGGTTCTTCATTGATAGGGTGTGAGAATAATTGATTTTAAATGTTTTTATTATTTTCATTAATTAATAAATTATCCCCTACAGAACCTGTAAACTCGAGTAATCAGAGATGCTATGATAGCAAGGGTGTTACTGACGATTAGCCTGATGTGCCACTGTCATAAATAAATAGTAATTGAATTCAAATATTTCTAGGCTTCGTAATCTACTTTGGTTATGGAGTTCGACATAGTGTTGAGGGACTTAACGATGCTGCCGGTCAAAATGGAGATGTTAGATTTATGAACAATCACGACGAAGGGTATGCCGTTGTTCCTACGCAAGATGACGAACAACCTTTGGAAGAAAAAGAATCAGAAATTTAAAAAGAAGATTTAATAATAAAAAAACAATTTTTAAAAAGGAGGAATAGGAAATAATCAACTTGCGAAGTTGAAAATAATTGATAATTTTTGTGCCTTATTTTTTGGTGTTGTCGCTGCTTCACTATCTCTCAAAGTTGTGTGTAAGAACTACTGGTTTCGTAGATTTTCAAGCGTTACTGATCGAGTCCTAAAGAAAGTAATAATTCAATGGGTGTTCATAAAGTCGTGTGTTAAATTAGGTAAAAGAACTTTGATGTGCGTCGTTCTGATAATGATGGCCATATAAAGATGTATCAAATGAAGTAAAGAACACTAAAAACTAGTTAAGATATATGGGCAACTCACTTCATAACAAAATTGTAACAGGACTTAATGAACACCCTGAGCTTTATAATGAGTTTTCCGTATTATTTGGATATGTTCTACAGTACTAAATTTCTAAAACTGTATATCAAAATTGATTTGGGTGTTGAATTTCCAAGGGTTACCCATAAAAATAATTAACTGAATAAAAAGCTCGTCCAGGAGATTTGTTTGAGTTATTATTCAAATTATTTGTTGTCAGCAAGATGCAAACTTCGAAGAGAAAATGCCTTTTCTGACTGCTTTTTTGGGTATATGATTATGACTTTTACACATTTCGTTAATACTGATATATTGACCATGTCCCCAGGTGCTGAGTACTGGGAATATCTCTCCCCTAAAGTAAAATTACTCTGTAAATATCATTAGTCCCATGCTTGATAAACATTTTGTTGCAAAAATGGCACCTTTTTTGTTCGATTTACGTACTATCGATACAGAAATTGTTTCTGTTAAATATTTTTCAATTTAGAAATTGATTGTTGAGTAATGGAGATCTGGTTAATTGTAAATAATTATTTATAACCAAGATTGAAATGCCAAATTCATTTAAAATATAGTGTGCCTTTTGCTCAGAAGCCTTGAAAAATCAAACATTGGGGTTGCTGCCAATTAAAATCAGTTTTATTTAGTGATTGGTTTCCTAAGATTGTAGGCTGTCTTCCTAGTTCAGTAATTCAAATTTACACGGTGAGGCAAAATAGTCTCTCATATTTTATTTTGAATATGGGAAGTCTTTTTCCCACCCTGTATTATCAAGGTTTGTTTGTATTTGATTATTTTGGTGGGGCTTTAAAACGTGGGCTCCCCCATGAGTTTATTCGGTGTAAACATTTTTGATCATGAAATCAGTACCGGTACCCAAGATATCAAGATCTGACAAGTGGTGTTTTACTTTTGCCAACAATGTTTGGTTATATTTATGTCTCACAACCTTCCAATTTGTACATAGTAATTGTTGTTTATTGTTCATTGTCTTATTTTTTCGGTCAAGGAAAATTATCACCCAGAACTTTGTTTATGTAAAAGTTAATCAGACTCGTTAGTTTCCTATATTAAATCAGTGTGAATTTAAGTTGAGAAGTCGAAATATTGTTTTTTTTTTCATGTTTTTCTCGTCGCCTGATTTTTAATGACTTGTATCTATAATTGTTATTTCGCATTTCTTTTGCCTGGGAACGTCATTATTATGTTCAGTCAATATCCTGGTACAGGGTAACTTATTTAGTTGACTACGGTAATCAAATTTGAACTATGTGTCATAAAGACAGATGTAAACTGAGGGATTTCACAATAGGTCAATGGAGTCAGAGCCTTATTTTCGAAACGAAATTTCGAATTTCCTCGAGTCAAGGTCAAATTTCTGACACAGAAACTGAAAAAACCGAGTTGATGAAAATTGAATAAGTGTTCTTAGCAGTCTCTATTAAATGGGGCTTGCATAAGTATTGTTAATTTTCCACTTCTGATCTTAACATGAAACTGAATTTGGCTATACGATGTTAAATTCCATCTAGACTTTTTCATTTCAAAACCATTATCAGTTCTATTCGAAATACATAGCAAATCGTAATACTCCATTTTACGCTATACCTCTTCTAAGTGTCCTGTCCATTTCTTCTATTATATTGTATGTAATTTATCAGAAAATTACCTTTTTACAAGCATCAATATGATGAAGCACAAAATAAAACATCAATTTTCGATACTTTTCTTTTTCTTTATTTAAATTACTCTTTATTGATCATGCCAAAAATGAAGCCGTTTCAATAAGTTGTTTTCCTAATTTGTTTTTCACTTCAAATTTACTAACAGTGAAGCAAAATTTGACCACTGTGAATTAGGTAACATTATGAAATCGCATGCCACTGTTTTTTCATGATACTTTGGCAAACTCAAATCTCTTTTCCCCTCTTTGATTGGTCTTAATTCAAAGTGTAATTAGAACCCTTTTTCCTTGTTTTGACAAAGTATTTTTTGTAATGGTTATCTCACTGAAACGGGGGTTCTCAACCTTTATCTCTACACCCCCTCCGAAAATTTTGAACACCCCCTAACTTTATGGTGTGATGACGCACTTCCTAACTTAAACATGATTGTATTCAATTATCCAGGGGCTATGAATAGTTTTATAGCTGATGGTGGAATATCTACCACCCCGTAAATTTGAAAACATCCCCCTAAAATGAAAAGCTGAAGAGCATACTGCCCTAGCTGTGTATGTGAACTGTCTTTTCTTGTGCGCCTTGACTTTCCCCATAGCGAGAGCGTAATAACATCTATTATGCAACACAGAATACCTTATCCCAACAATGTTGCAATTTGCTGTGTGCCCAAGGCACTCACTTTACCCATTTACGCTCAGTTGGGAACCCTTGTTTTATAAGATGTGTAGTCATGATACTTTCTATCCATGGTTTAATTTCCATGTTCTTACATATCTGAAAAATGGTTTTATTCACTTTTTTAAATGTGACATATTACAACAACAGTTTGGCTTACTTATTTGGGGCCTGTGGCTATCTCTATTCGGCCTTCTACGCCGATGGCTTTATTGTTGACAACTTATTTAAGGTGAATGTGTTTCCTTTCGATATATTTTCAACTTAGCTGTTATTAAGGGTAACTTATTTAATTTAATGTTTGTAAATATTTGTATATAATCATGGCTTCAATGCTTCATATTTCGCATCAGTCAGGATCATGTGCTTAATAAAATCTTGTGATTAATTGAGATATTTACCTCACGGAGGTAAAAGTGGATTTTATGAAGCATTGTTGCTATTCTTTTGAAATAAAAAGCTGACGTTTTGTGTACTGAAAGGTTTGGATATCTGGTGATGGGGCTGGTTGAGTGATTCATGCAAAATGGCAAGTTTGTTAATAGTAGTTTTGAATGTGTGAATAATGCAGAAAGATTCTTAGACACTGTTCTTCAGCTCCTACTTTTCAAGACGGGCTTCACCAAAGCAAGGATGTTTAAAAAGGACCAGCAGACTTGTTTAATCATGCTGCTAACAAGGTCTCTCGCCTGATGAGAGTGCTATGTTTTTTTGGGAGGGAACTTCATTGCTAATTAATGCAATTATAATACAAATGAATTATAGTTGACCTCAAACATTTCAATTCATAAATTTAACCACACAGTAAGTAGGCATAGCTGATGGTATGCAATCCCTTATCATTGCGACATGGGAGTTTGGTTATGATTTTCAAAATCAAGACTGTTACCGTCATTATTAATTGAAATCAAAATTTCAAGTTGAGTCAAAACTGTGTTTAGTCGTGAGCCAGATCGTTATTTACATGGCCTGAGTCTGCTTAATCTTTCCCTAAACCAGAGATTGAACAACCTTTTAAGTCACCTAAAAACAGATGCACCACTCATGCTAGAGAATTATCAGTACCTACCTTACCTGACTAACAGCCCCCACTTCAAAGAAGATTTATGCTGTCCTATTTTATGACAGGAGACTTAAGCAGTTAGTTGTCCATCATGTTACTTGTTAAATGCTGACAAGCTCTCTAATCTGCAACAGCAGTTACAACAGAAACAAAATACTGTCGAATATTTATTCAAGATTTTCAATCTATATTAATAATAGAAATGAGAACGAAGTTGGCCACAGCATGTCAGTTCATATTTACAATAACCCTTTTTTTCAGTAAGCAGAACGGCATGACAGCATCTTGATAATGAAGTGAACTAACCAAATCTTGAAGAAAATACTGAAAAAAAATTTTGTGAATTTTGTGAAGAAGCAAATGTCCGTGATTCTGGGTGGAAGATTCAGTGAGAAAAGTGAAAGTTTCCATGACAAGTGTTATCACCAGTACTCGATATCAGCAGACAGCAGATAATGGTTGACATACAAGGCAAACAACTAGGGCTGGGCATTTTCGAATACGTTGTGATTTCAGAATCGAATAATTTTTTCGAATCGAATTTCGAATACTTGAAAATATATAATTGTAAGCGGCTTTATTATAGTAATTGGCCCTCTCAACAAATTAATTACTGAACACATAGAATAAATCACTCAGATAGATAACTGAGCGTTCACACTGAATAACAAACATGTTTTTATCAATAACTCACTACAGAAAATAGTCATATTATGTTAGAATTTCGTTGAAAAAATATGACTCCAATGAAAAAAAAATTGGGGAATTCACTGGAAAGTCAAAACCAAGATGGCGACGATTCGAAATTTAGCTCTGAACCGATTCGAATAATTTACTATTCGATTCGAAATGCCCAGCCCTACAAACAACCCAAGGCTCAAGCTTCAATTGTGATTATGTAACGAAACATACAAAGACTAATTAATCTTAAATCTCTGCCCAGTAGTCCAGCACAATTTGTCTCGCATAGTGCCCCATTAGTTAAGGCAGTCCCTTGCGACAGGTCTGCGTGGACTTCGTGTGAACAATGTAAAAACTATATCAAGCTTGTATATCACTGTTCTCTTAAGATCGAACTTATTGCCTAACCTGGTACACACTACGAGAGTAACGGTGTACCTCATAGCGAATTTCCACTCATTTATAACAAATGTAATCATAATTTGAAAAAAATATTGTGAACTAGAACATCATTATAACAAAGTTACAGTTATTTCTAATATAATCCACAGACCAATCGAGATCCTATATGAAAAATACACTGAGAATAAATTGCAAAGAAACATAAAACGTAGAAAGCATAATTTTTCAGTCACAATATTGAAGAAAAAATTTAATGAAATATTAGGCAGAATTATAACTATAAGAAAAAAAAAAATCGAAATAAACAATGAAAGCACATGTTCAGAAAACTATGTGATGACAAATAATCCAAAAACCTTGAAAACAAATAATTCTCCTTTGATGATGACCTACTATAATGACAATAAATGCACCAAATGTATAGGTATGCAAAAAAAATAGTTTCTGTAATCTCAAATCATTAAAACATCTTTGAAAAATTTGTGGGTAATCCTAAAAAATTTCAACTCAGACTGAATTTGAACTAGTGGTCTGCATTTCCCAAAGAAAAACAGCAAGTTGTCTTAATTCTAATCAATATCTTACTATCCAGCAGTATTTGGGGGACTAGAATAAAAAAAAAAATGATTCCTCAAACACACAGACTTTGCTCGAGAACTGTAGATAATTTTCGAGACTTTTGGGGGAAATGCTATTCACCACGTTGATTAATATTGTATTGAAAACATATTATTACAGTAATAACTCAAAATTGGCTGTGTTGATGTCAATATGAATGTTGTCGGTGCACTTTCAATCCCAGTGCAATTTTTTATTAATGTGACTCAATTTTTTTCAATGTCACAATCGACATTCCACAGGCCGGACTAGACTTTAATTGTAACTCAGAATTAGGGATTACCACCCAACACTGCTATGTGGTGAGGTCACATTGCCACATCCTAACACTTTAACACTACAGCATGGATTGATGCATCAAATAAATTAAAAAAAATCATTTAGAACTCGGAGCGACTTCAACTAATGTCCATTTGTAAAACCATTCTGATAAGTTTTCGTTCTGTCGTAAGTTCTTCGAAATTTGTCATCAACTTTTGTTAAATAAAACGTTCCAGGAAACGTATGCTCAGGAGGAGTTGATGGGGTATAGTCACCTGTGAACAGAAGTTTTCATTTAACAAGAAACTAATAACATCTGCAGTGAGACGCAACCAATACAACTCCTATAATAAGTCTCATCTTAGTTTAGTATTTCATTGCGCTAAAGTGCTCTGTATTGCCATCTAGTGTGGTGGTTTATAATCTTTTTTGTGAAACGAAACCCCAATGAAACATTCCAGAGTTTCGAAGAGCCCCAGCGCAACAGCTTAATTGTCTGAAGCTAACGCCCAAGCTAACAAGATGTGCCGCTATGTCAGATGTTCAATATTCCCACCACCATGTGCGCTAGTTTTAATCACAATTTAAATGTCTTTTAACAAGTTTATTAGGTGGTTATATTTAAAATTTCCAACAAATCTTGGCAGAGGCTAGCTAGGTCGTAACCAACACGATGGTCGATGGTCCTAAAAACTTTTTCATTTATAGTTATGCCTCACTTAAACATCTTTGCCAGCCACTGCACTAGAATAAGTCCAGACTCATTTCGATAAATTCATTAGACCCTATTCACAACAATTGCTGATTTCGGAGTCCGGACTTAGATTGGATACAGATGAAAAAAATTCTATTAATCATAAGCAGATTTACTTACATTTCAAATGAGTGCTTGCTCTCAACTTCAATGTTTTCGTGAAATCCTCGGGTGATATCTCTTGTCTTCTATCCAGCCTGTGTTTCACATCGCTGATGCCTTGATTTTATAAAGAAAACATTAATTAGTGAACATAGTTTACAGGTTGGATGAATAAACCTAAATTTATTTTTGATTTTCACTTGATTAGGCTCTGATATATATAAAGCAATTATCCGTTCAAATAATGGATAAAATCTTTCCACCTGGGCACTGCGTACCCGTTTTTGTTACACCCTAGGTAAAGTGGTAAGAACTGGAATTGTGATTCTTAAAGTTGTCATCTCAATGTCTAAATTCACAATTTGTTTCTACAATTTCACTTCGAATAAGGCTCTGATATGTATGGAGCAATTAAATATTAGATGAAGATTTACACCTAGGCATTGCATACAGGTTAATTACACCCCAGAAATGGTGGTAGGAGTCAGAACTAGTGATTCTTTAGGATGACAATGTATCCAGGCTAACGCTCCAAGGTTCCATACAACTCTCAAATTGAAATGTAACGAGCGTTTCTTTTTGGAAAGACTAAAATCTTTCTGGTTCAGCATTGTCAAAAGCTTTTCAAACTGGGGGTCCGGCCCTGACTGACCCATCACTCCACCTGTTGGTTCGCGGAAAAATTTTGCTATGCCAAGTGGGTCGTGATAAGTTGAATAACACTGGTCTACTGGATATATTACACCCTTGGGTGAGGAAGTAGGCAAGGGGATTGAACATGAAATTTTAATTTAAGTAACATAAGCTACCAGTACTCCAATGAGCCATTGGTCCTTCATGTCCATATATTTAAGCATTGCTCTTTTGTTTATTATCATTCATTAACTTTAGCATTTAGTAGCCAAATAAATCACCATTGTAAAACTGCCATCTTACTACTTACCATATATAAGTTTTTCTAATGCTTGTTTGCTTTGGTCATCGTCCACATTGCATACTTTCATAGAAAACATAGATGAAGCAAGACCAGATCCATATGAGAATAATCCAATTCTTTTATTTGATAATTCTTCGAATGAATGACTGTTAAAACAAAAACTATGATATTTAATAAATAATAATTTTCAATGGTCCATTAGCAACAACAATTTAGCAGATCGATCAAAAGACTCCACATTTAAAAACAACCTAAATTTTAATTATGACAACATAACCTATATTTATTAAGGCTATTTCTACATAATTTCTTTCCATACATCTGAAGCCTAACAGAAAGAAAACATGACTCACTAGAATTATTGCAAAGTTTGATTATCGAAAATTATTTTAATTGAATATACACATTGAACATTCATTCACACTGTAAACAATAAAATATTTAAAGAATGTATCCCAATATAACTCTATAGGCTTTCCAGAAGTATGTGTACCAATATGGATGTAACTAATTTTGTTCGCCTACTTTACACATCAAGTTGTATTTGGACTGAAACCTATAGGGCGGGGTTATATTCACTTGGGATACCACAGGCAGTCCCCGAACTCATAATCGAACTAAGATGAAGAAAATTGGAATAAAAAATTGGAACTTTAACCTGGTACATACACTACGGGAGTGCAGCCTTATGTCTTACATGTCAGCAAAATTATGGCGATAACAACAGTAGTGAGTGACACCACAAGATCATTCCCAGATGTTTCAACCGGAACTGTTTATCTGTTTGTGTTCAAATAGAATGACGTAACCATGCCATGACTAAAAGGTTGCAAACTTAATTATAACACTTTCTCTCATTACATTGACAAGAATCTTGCAAAAACAGGAATCGCCCAGAACACGCTCGAACTAGGACAATTATTCGATATGGTATTATCGGAGAGGACCACACACAGATAAACAAAAATAAGCAGTGGGTTTCGAAAGCATTATTGAAATGACAAGTTTGCTTTTCCAACCATTAAAAAAAATATGATTTTGATAACAAATACTTTAGCACATGCAAGCCCGAGGGTGTAACCACGAATTTCCGAGGGGGGGGGGGGGCAAAAATTTCTAATTGTTGGAAATGTGAGTCTAAAAGAGGGTCTAAAATGCGTTTCAAGCTTCGAAAAATTGCTATTTATGAAAATTACTTTATTTTCACATTCTTAAAAGGCAGAAGGTGGTGGTTGAAGGACGAAAGTCCCCGTTTAGCTACACCCATGTGTAAGCCCCCTTTAAATGGACTACTGTGAGCTTGGTAAACTTTACGTTAAGTTTTCATGAAAAATCTCGACTTTTATTATCAACATTTAAAATCTGAAACTCTAAAAGGAATTTAGAAATCTGACTCCAAGAGGGTTGGAAATAAAAGTAGTTAGGAAGAAGCGACCCAAATTTATATCATCAAATTTAGAATTTAGGCCAAGTAAATTTTAGCCTTAATATAGTTAAGCCAAAGACTCATCAGCATGCCCACTTAATTTCAATTAGACAAATTTTGTCAAGCAATAGTCACAAGACAAAGAAATAATATATTACTCAAATTAATTACTCATTCTAATATTCTGAATATGATCATTCATTATTGTCATCTTATTCAATTAACACCTGACAGTCAAAGAAATCAACATTCGGTAATTGTAAAAAATAGAATAATCAATATAAAAAAGTCATCAATGAATATACAATATTTCACAGACATTTTTCTGTTGAACAGGACTCAATTAAAAAAATATTTTTTTCATAGTTCACACTTTTTTCACTTTAGACATGGCTCTGTATATAAGCAGCTCTTAATATGTGAGCAGCTTCCTTTCAATGAAAGGATCGGTATCTTTCTGGTCCAGAATTGTCTACCAATTTAATAAATCTTGGAAAACACAGTGACTGGCCATGGGATTTTAAACTTGAATTTTTGAATCTGTGTTGTCAACGTAATTGAATCCAATCCTTTTATCCAATAAGCCATCAACCCCAAAATCCTCTATATACCAAATTGGATAGTCTTTTGGTATGATTTTAGCATATTCAGTCTCGATCATCACTGAGCATAATATGTTTGTAACATACATACAATGCACACTGCAGAAATAACCACAGACTTCTCAAGTGGTTCAAACCGATTACCTATACCTATAGTCTCAACCACATCTGTGTATTAGGAAGTAGTCTATCACATGGAAGGGGATTTTTGAAACCACCCCAAAATGTCTCAGAATTCTTGGTACTCCCCAATTCTTTACATATAAATAAATTTTCGACTGAAATTTTAACTTTCATGATAAGTAAAAGTAATTGGATAGTTTACAAAACTAAGAAAGGAAAAATCCCAAACGAAAAAAAAAACTTAGTAACAACAAAGAGGATTAAAACATTCCTTTTTCTAATTTTATTTTAGTTTACACTTAATTCTAGCGAGGTCCAAAGATAATTATACATACACTAGCTGTACCATGGCTGATCATATAAGAATTCTGGATGTTGCAGCACGGTTTGTCAAACCGACCGCGCCGTGAGGCGCGAACAGGTGATAGTTTTCGGTGCACGTATAACGTGCGAAGTGTGGTTGGGTTGTGAAGTGCAAAAGTCGGGGTCAACAAGCCTAATAGAGAAAACCGCAAGTCCTACAGGGTCGCCCGAGGTGTCTAAAGAGAGCTGACGGTCCCCCCATTACCGAGAAAATTTTTCAGAACGATCCCGCCTCTCGGGAAGGGCCCGAAAAACGGCCCGAAAGCCAAAAAGAGCCTTTCTCCTTCAATGCGTAGGTCACATGACGTTCCATATAAGGTAATCCTTTGATTTTTTGCCGTTTCCCGGGGTTACCGGGCCGCGCAAGGCGAGAGGGACCTTGCTAAAATTATTTTGAATTTTTTCAAGGCGGGGGGGTTTCCCCTCCCCGCCCCAAATAACGAGAAAGGGATTTCTTAGTTTTTTAAAACCTGGCAACACCATTTCGGTAGTCTGATCTGTGTCGTTATCGGAAATAGGGGTGTTCCCGTGTAGGCAGAGGGCTCATACTTGGAAAACGTGTATAACTAAACTAATTAACTACTCAAAAAAAATTTGGGACGGATCCGGCCATCTTGTGGTCAAATATTAAAATCGCTAAATTTCGGCTTCTGCGATAGATAGAGTCTTCAAAGTCGGTCAGTGGAAAGCTTTTGTGTTACTCTTTCTTAGTTTGGAGACTCTACCGCACCCGTACTCCCACTAGTGGTCAAATCGCGAAAATCTATATCTCGAGTTCTGCGATAGATAGAGTCTTCAAACTCGGTCAGTGAGGAGCTTTGGTGGTACTCTTTCTTAGTTTGAAATCTCTACCGGACACGTGCTCCCACTAGTGCTCAAAACGCAATAATCTGTATCTCGAGTTCTGTAGTTAGTAGAACCTGTAGACCTGGTCGACATGTTGTACTAACGACACTCCTTCTTTATTTAATGAGCTAGAGTCCTCAACACGCCCCCTAGTGGTAAAACGCCTATAGATCGATGAAACTTGGTAAACATTCCAAATTTGGGGGGCGTGCGCCGATCGAATTTCCGCGATTCGATCGGCGCGACTTACGGCGGTGATAGACACGCGAGTGCTACGTTTTTAAAAAAGCGTCGAGCGTTATAAATGTGCGCTTTAGCGCTTTTCCCTCTCGTTGGGAGGCCGAAGGCCGCACCTTTGACCACCACTGGATGCTACTCCGCCCGTCTTTTGAACCGCGACGCTAGTCGCACCAGACACCAGAGGCCGGCGGCCAGGAAGATTGGGTTGTTAATGCTCAAGAGGTATACAAAAGGTATGTTACGGAGAACCGCAAGTCCTAGAGACAAGCGGGTGGTGTCAAAAGATGGGGAACGGGGGCAAACTGACAAAGAAAATTTTTCAGAACGATCGGGCCAGAGGAAGTGGGCCAAAACGGGCTTTTAGTGGCCCGAGGCTTCTGATTGGTCAATAGGCTGTCTGTCAAGTCACGCAAGAGTGATTTTGGGGTTTAGAAGCCGTTTGGCTGCGTTTCCGGGCCGGGAAACGGTTTGCCAGGGCATTGGGAATTTTTCCAAACGTGTTTGGGGGTGGGGGAAGTGCCCCCGCCCCCCCCAGTGGCAAGAAAACGTCAAGAAAGCCACGCCCACTTGGGTAATATGGTTTCGGGGTGATTAGGAGCACTTGGAATCAGTTTTTGGGCAAAGTGATGCCTAAATATCGAAGGGACTAATTAATAGAATATATTATCATCCGAACTTTGGGGATTCCCCGTCCCTGTAACGGTCCAGTGAGTTCGGAATGTTGCGCTTAGGAATTGAGATATTGAGGAAAAAAAATACATAGGTAGGTTGAGAAAATTTAGTTTAATACCTTTTTCAAGGAATTTTTTTGCTCCCGTGCCTCCGTCACGGTCTAGTGATTTTGGCCTTTTGCCGGCTTCAGACAGGTCATATCGAAAATCTAAAGGCATGGGCATGATCAGAAAAATTATTCCAATCACGTATCAGCGAAATTTTTTTTCTAGTAGCCTTCAGTTACGGTCCAGTGATTTTAGGCCATATCTCGAGAACGGTAATAGACAGGGATCTCGTATTCGAGTTATAGAAGGTAGTTGGAGTGTAGTTTATGCCTATAAAATTTCGTCACGGTCGAGTGATCACGACCTTAAAATTGATAAAAAGACTACCGTCATACGTTGAAGTTTATGTTAGGGGGGGTCAATGGCGTCGGTCGGATCATGCCGCGATCCGTCCGACGCAACGAATGGCGGCTCGAGCGTCATAGGAACTACCGGCTTGGGCCGAACCCACCATTTGTGCGCCCGCGGCCCCCCTCGTCGTGTGCCGCAGGCAGACGTTTATTTCTGGATGCTACCCCGCCCCGTCTTTTACATATGCAGCGATAGCTGCCACAGAAACCAGGTGCCGGCGGCCAGGAAGATTGGGTTGTGTATATAGAGAACGCCCGTCAAAAGGGTATGTTAGAGAGAACCGTACGTGCTAGAGACAAGCGGGAGGTGTCAAAAGATGGGGGAAGTTACCAAACTGACAAAGAAAATTTTTCAGAACGATCGGGCCAGAGGAAGTGGGCCAAAACGGGCTTTTAGTGGCCCGAGGCTTCTGATTG